AGAAGTTAAATTTTCAGTTTTTGAGAAATGTTGGCCATATATGTAATTAGTATATCATTTATAGAGATCCTATGAATGTTATTCCATTCTTTTACTCAGTAAGGAGAAAAAGATGGAGCAATAGCACTTTATAATGCATGTCATCCTTGTGAACTTTACCTGAGTGGTAGGCAGTGTGAAATTGCAGGGTTTTATTTATCAGTCTTAAAATCTGCTGTAGTTTTACATAAACTGGCTCATTGATCATTAGATGACAGTTTAAGTTTTGAGACCAAGAAGTGTTTTTTTTTTTTAATTACCATACCATCTAGGTGGAGACCTTGTGTTGACTACTTTTACATGAATAACAATGAGTGATGCTTTAATAGCATTTTGCTATTTTTAAAACATTAAAAAATTTTCTCATGTATTTAAGTCATTATTTTTTGCTCAGGTTATTTGAAGTTTTTAGTCTGAAAGTTAAAAGCAGAACAGTTTCTTAAAATGGCAGTAGTAAAAAGGTAAGGGAAGATGTTACGTCAGTGTAATAACATTTAATGTGTTTTAATCTTTTATGTTTAGCCCATATAATTGGATAGCTCCTGTTTACATGAAGCTGGTTACAAATAAACGGTACAGTTCTAGGCCTCCTCTAAACAATGATTCCCCTTTAAAAAATATGCTTGCTACCTTAGGAGATAGAGTGAACTTAGGGTATAGAATACAAAGAAAACTTCAGGACTTAGAGTAACCAGGACTCCTGGAATCCACTAGGGGTTTGGTTCGCATATAATTGAGACTGTTTTTGGTTTTACGTAAGGCTAATCCTTTTTTGGTAAAGAATACTATTCTGTTGAGATTCTGTTCAGCTTTTTTTCATGAGATGGTGAGTTACTATTTGTAAATCACTTAGAACACGGCACATGGTAAACCCATAAAAATGTTAAATGTAAAGAGAAACTCTTGTGTCAAGTTGTAAGGTACAAAACTTTAGTTGTTTTTTTTTTTAAAAAGCTTATATTAAATCACTAATATAAAATTTTAAATGGTATGTCTTAAGCTTGGGTTAATATCTTACAGAATATGAGTGAGACTTTTTTGCTTTTGTTTTGTCACTTGCATTAAAAACTTGGAGTAGTTTTTTATTGGTTAGTTTCATTTGCTAAATCTCATGACACTTTGATTTCTGTAATTGTTTACCCCCTTCTTTTGTTACGTGTTTTCTCCATAGCCATTCTTTGCCCCATACCTTTACACGCCAAGGTGTTACCCTGGCGGTTCCCAACATCTCATCTCACGTCCATCAGTAAAAACGAATTTGCCCAGAGATCAGAGCAATGGCCTAGTAAGTATAAAAAAGGGTAACAAAAGTACTAATCTAATAAGAAACATAGACAGCATTAGACGCTTGCTTATTTCCTTTCTGTAATAAACGCACAACTTATTTTATAAATAATTTTAAGAAACATAAGCCATTACTAACACAAAATGTATTTTGTTTTCATTTCTGGTAAATATCTATGGAAGGAAAATGATTAGTAGCCTCAGGGAATAAATGATGGGTTATTTACAGCCAGAGTTTCTGGCCTATAATGTATTGTTTGTTACCAGACTTTAAAACTGAACCTTTACGTCTGCTAATTTCTAATTTCTTTTTAAAGGACATACATATGTGGTATTCATGTATGTGTGTGTGTATATATATATATATGCCAGCCCTATGGTATAAAAATTAGAGGATATATTGGAAGAACATTTTGATCTAGTAGCAGATATTAATTAAATAGGGTAAGGAAATTATTCAAATGTACTATTGACTCTAATCCAAAACAGAATCCATTTGTGCCTAAAATTTTAGGTGTCCTGATGATACACTTAGTTTAACAATTTAAAACAAGAAATTCCCTGTTAATAAATTTTTTTAAATTAGGGGGCAAAAGCTATAGAACTTAAACTGTCATTTACATTTTAAAATGTTATCACTGAAGGGAAGCTCTGATCACGCGCAGGTTTCAGTGTGTTGTGTGTTGTTATTTTAACACCATGCCCATTCATCACCCTCGTTTGGCTCACCCTTCTCCTTTCGCCCGCGCTCTCGTTTTGTGTCGCTAGGAGGTTATCGAGGAGGACGCTGCCGAGGGGCTTTCTTCGCCCACAGGCTCCTCGAGGGTAATGGAGTGCCTTGTGGTGTGGGCCGCGGGCGCCTCCCGCTTCTGCAGCACAGCGACTGTCTCAGCTGCGGTGACAGCCGCTCACTAACCCGCCTCTGTGGTGTGATGGGCGGCTGGGGTGGAGTGGCTGGGCACTCATAATCATAGTTCATGGATTAACTGAAGATCTAATGTTTAACTTTACCCTCAATTTCCTCCTGCTTTTCCCCTTTTTCAGTGACTTGGGGTGGGGTTTTTTTGTCGTCCAGTAAGGAAGGAGTTTTTCCAGCAGCCATCAGGAACATTCAGTTGGTATTCGTTCCTTCAACGTTGGGCTTTATTTTCACATTTGCCTGTTTTTCTTAAGCCTGCAGTTGGTACCACACATGCAGCATATTTTTGAAAATATCCCGAATCAACCTTGAGACTTATAAAAGGACGCTATGAACTAGATGGTGTAGACCAGGAATGCATCCTTAGGGACTCACGCTGAATCTCGGTGCCCACTCTGTAAATACGGTGCTGCCACAGTGCTGCTTTTCTGTATCTGTATACAGTTGACCCTTGAACAGGGCAGGAGTTAGGGGCGCTGACAATCCTAGCAGCCTAAAACCCTAGCAGTCTAAAATCGATACTGTGACTTGGAGTCAGCCCGCCAGGTAAGTGGGTCCTCCTTGTCTGTGGTTCCACGTCTTCGCATTCAGCCACCTGCAGGTCATGCGGTCCTGTCGTGTTTACTGTCAAAAAAAATCTGTGTGTAAGTGGACCCACACAGTTCAAACCTATGTTGTTCAAGGGTAAACTGTATTTATTAAAATAAAATTTCCAGATAAACAGAGCTAGTTCAGCTTGTAAAGGGAATTATTTAAAACTATTTTCCCCTCAACAACTTAGGGTGGGTTTCTTTAAAAAACAAACCTTTATAGGAAGTCACTTTGTGTATTTATTATTCAAGGCTTTGTACTTAATGAGAAATGCATTAAAATGTGATGAACCTTCAAATCTTTATTCACTCAATGTGGAATTTAAGAACCCAGTTTGTATTTTAAGCCCTGTCAATTTATTTGCAGAAAGTTATGCCCATGTAAACATGATCAATTTAATCTAAAGAAATGAGGCATAGCAGTTAGAATTAATTTGGTGAAATACTGTATCCTGAGTTACCCATAATTTTTAACTTAAAACATGCATTTAAATAAGCAATAGTTTAATTTTCTTTGAGTTAATGTTAGTGAGATAGAAAGAGAAGCATTTTGGCGTTTTCACTGAGGGGCTGTTGGGTCTTTTTAAGTCACTAACATTTTAGCTGAAGTGTTTGAGTGACTTCATTTATCCATGAGTGACAGACACAATGCACCATAATAATTCTGTTTGGGTGTTGGGGAAACTTTAGTCCATGGACGTTGCCACTGTATATGCAAGAATTACTTTTAGTTTAGGCAGAAAGCCTTTAATATATAGATTCATGGATGCAATGCAATTCTCTGAGCTAAAGTTCCTCAGCAAACTTTTGAAGAAAATCAGATACTGTGAAAAACTGGATGGTCTTAAAGACAGAAATGTGATGAAATAGTAGTTGTTCCCATGCTCAAGAATGTGGGCAAACACTTGTGATGAGAAGGTGTCTGTAACTTCAGGGACCAGTGAAGGCGCATCAGGCAAATTTTAAAATGAGTTTTTGGAGAAGGGGAAATAATGCTGTTCTTAAGATGCAGTTCCTATTGTATTAGTGCCTTTGGTAAAATAACCATACTACTTGCTGTTCTTTTAATATTAAAAGATAGTTTTGTAATCTGCTTAGTGAATAATAGCTGCTTCCCAAGCTTTCTTTGCTTTTAAGAAATTAACAATGATGGTAGCGTGTAAAATTTACTTCGTAGTGACAAGCTCAAGTAGACACTTAGCTCAAAGCCATATTAAAAGCAGTGGTGGACATGTGGTGAAGGATCTCTATATGGGATCATTGCATGGGCTCTTTGTAGCTGAACCAACACAGAAGTAGCTAATATAAAAATTATTTAGCCCTTCACAGCTCATGTGGCTTTCCAGTCCTGTGGCAGAAAATTCTGTGTAATTCCTGAGATAACAGGACTGCGGACTGAGTCACAGTCACCTGTGCTCACTCAGCTATCCCCTGTATGTAATGCTTGGTGGCAAGAGCTGCTTATAGAAAAGTAAAGAGCTGCACAAACCTTTTTGGACAACTTGTTTTGTCATTATGGACACAGAACAATGGGTTTAAAAAAAAACAACTCCAAAAAAGACCATAGAGAGTTGGTGGACTCTCTATGGTCTTTTCAGTATAGGTGATCCCGAGGAATCTCTCATAACCCTTTATCAAGCAGATCCTGATGAAAATAATTGGGTTTCTCACATTAAGGAATGTTGTGATGATCATGACTTGCCAAGGCCAGCCAGGGACCAGTCAGATAAATTATACGTCCAAGTGTTTCACAAAGGTGAAGATGCAAAATGTAAGCCTCTTTGCTAGCTCTTCCCCCTATAATTTTATAATAGAGAAAGTATCTGCCAAATCTTGTAGAACTGAAAGAAACATTAACATTGGACCCACGATAATCCCCAGGATATTCAAGCTAGAAAGGGCTAGTGTTTTCAAACTTTCAAAGCAGAGAAGCCTGTTTGAGAAATGAAGTCTTAATCAGAACTCCAGTTTATAAAACCAATAAAAGTAAAAACTCTGGCTCCCACGTTGGACTTGCCTTCCTTCTGGAGGATCCTCGGGAGCGCTGGTACCCATGGTCTAGCCCAGTGCCACAGTGCTGATGGACGCGCGAGACTTCCCTGAGGCCCCGGGAGGGGGGCAGCGGGTGCAGAGCGGGAGCCCAGCACGCTCCTCGGCGCCCTGCTGCCTTCTCCGCGGCGCATGGCTCAGTCGTGCGTCTGGTCTTTCATGTTGAATGGGCCCTGTCTCTTTGCCTTGGAGAAACCACGTAACCTCGCTGATGCTGAACTTCCTCATCTGGGAAAAGCAGACCTGCTTCCGAGGTCTGATTTAAAGATCACTCAGCCTTAGCTTTCTTACTTTAAGTACATAATAATAACTGCTTTACTGCCCCAAAGGCCAGAGTCCATGGAGCTTTAAGACTCGGAAACTGAAACTGTTCTGTGTTAAATGACCTCTTCTCATCAGAGGCGGCTCAGTGTCCAGATACTCCTTTTATCTGTTGATGCTTCTCTAAGGCCCGAGAGGTGTCAGTCAGTTTGTTTTCTAGGCTTTAGAAGGATTTCTAGGTTATGTGAATGCCCCCAATACTTTACAATTTTGAAAGCATTCCAGGGGAATTTTACTTGACGCCTTTACCTTCCTCCAGTCCAGGTCCCACTAGGAGGTGGCGGCATCAGCTCCTTCTGTGACCGTGCAGGGAGGGGCCCGCTGAGGAGGGCCTGTCTCGAGCCAGGTCTCCTCGGTGGCGTTTTGTTACGGTATTTCAAAGAGTTGCTCTTACGAGTATTGTATTCAGTCTGTTTACTTGAGGTGTGCTGCTCACGGTGGGACCTGTGTTTCATTGCAAAGCATTTTTTCAGAGGAAGGAGTGATAGAGCATTTCTTTACCCTTTTCTTCTTCCTTGAATGATTTAGCATCAGATGCCTGTGTGCCTTTCACTGGTTCACAGAGTTTATTGAGGCGCTATTATGTGGGATGTGGCGGTGAACAGAATGGTGAGCATCCTGCCCTCGGGGAGCCTGTGGATTTGAAGGCTGCCACATGGGAATTTGCAGAGCTGCCAAGTCCTTCTTTCTCCACCTTCTCTGCCACAGGGCTTCCTCCGTAGATAGCTTTGTTTAGATCACCTTTCTACCGCTTTGAAAAGGCAGGAACAGAATTAGCACAAAGTTTAATTGTAAGGAGCTTGGGAATTGCAAAGACAGTGCTGGTATCAGTAAGTATCCTGCTGTCCACTGTACTGTCACTTTGACTTTTAGAAATTGATGCAATTACCAAATTAAAGTATTAAAAAGGAAGATCTTGGTTTTCATTAAACTGGCTCCGTTTGCTGGAGTGATCAAGTGAAAAGTCAAAAAAAAAAAAAAGATGAGACTCAACTGTAGATCATTTTTATTTCCACCCAAGGTTTAGAACTTGTAACCTGTTTTCAGGCAAATATTTGTCCACATCCAGCTGTCTGTCACTCAGGAGCAGACCTGGACGAGAAAGTTAAAGATGCCGGGGCGGGGGTGGGGGGGTCAAGGGGGGCGGTCAGGGCTGTTTAGACCGCAGGCGTAGGACCAGGCCTCCTCATCAGCAGTCAGCACCTCTCTCAGGAGGTTCCTTCATGGTTTCTAAAGCACTTTAGGAGTGCATTTTTATTATTCTGTTTCAATTTGGAAACGTAGTCACATGTTTTTCTTTATTAATAATACGGTGAAAAATTATATTCACATCCAGCTTCGAAGTCTTTGTGTCAGGCTTCAGCTTAAGAAAACTTTTAAAAAATTCTGTTTTAATTTTTTCAGGCCTTTTTTGGCAGGGGGTGGTGGATTGGGCTTATTTATTTGTTTGTTCATTTATTTATTTGTTTATGTTAATGGAGGTGCTGGGGATTGAACCCAGGACCTCGTGCACGCTTCTAAGCTTGTGCTCTACCGCTAAGCTGTATACCCTCTCCCCAAGAAAACTTTTTTCCTAAACAAGAAACTGCAGCTAAATTGAGATATTGTGGAAGAAATATGATACTGCACTAATGATATCATTGAAATCCCAGAGTACACTTAAAAGTTAAAAAATAACAAAATTATACTTTGTACTTGGGGCTTTTGAAAGATTGCCCTTTAAATGTGGTGTTAAACCTCGTGTCAACTTTGACCTGATTATTATTCCTCCCGTAGTTTAAAGAGTAGGTTACATTTTCCAACCAGGTAACAATAGCTTTCTTTTATGTTTTGGATATCTTGTAGTAAACTAATTTCACTAGCATTCCTTTTTGGTACTTTTTCAAGTCTCCGTAGATATACATAGTAACTTTCTAAAAAAATTACTTATGTTGAGGTTGATATGTAAACTAGAAAACAGGGTTCCCATGAAGTTCTCCAGGTAATGAATATTTTAAAAGAAAAATATTGTGAATTAACTTTGACTCAGTATTGTCAGTTATCTCTAGATTATTTTAACTATTTTAAGAATATTTACCAACCGACCTAATTGGTATAGAAGAATAATTAATAGCAGTGTGTCTGCTTTGAATTAGAGTTTAAAGACCTACATCCGTAAAACAGTTAACTCATAGTGTGCACATATTTCCCACTGTTACATTCATGATTTCTTGAGCTACAAAGCTCTTACGGCCTTTCTTCTCAGATGGTATTTTAGCGCATCTGTTATGTGGTCCATGCTCAGTGACACAAAACCCAAATTTGAAAAGTGTATTTCTGAACATTAGTGTGGCTAGATAATATTTTATTTTATGAAGGGATCGTGTGAAGTTCGAGTAGTAAGTTGGTCTGCAATTAATAGTTGCAGTTTTTTAGCATAATATTTAAAAATTAATTTTAATCTTGTATGTAGTATGAATATTGACTTTCCGTAGCAAATTTGATTTATGTAGTTTTCTTGTTGAATGTATGGCCCATGATTTATTCTTTTGATAGAATATAAAGTTACAAGAGTACAATTTTAAAATTGCCAAACACGTGTTAATGAAATTAAACTACTGTGTGTGTGTGTGTCAGAGTGTGAGCGTGTGAGTGCTCCTTGCTTTGTGTTGCTGTGGAGGTGGTGTGTTCAGAGTTACAGGAAAATAAGAGGAATAACAGAAGTGCTTATTATATACGTGTATTTGATGTGTACTTTAAGCTCGTGTCCTTCATTCTGTTTTATTCCTTCCTTAAGCCGTGTGACTCTGGGTTTAACAAACAGAGACAGGTACAGAAACTTTCAGTGAAATCTTACTCGCTTTTCTTATTTTAGACTATTAGAAGCAATCATTGGCAGCGTCATGCTGGGCTGTTCATAATCTGTGCTCATTTCAGTGCCTCGGGTTTATTTTAATAGCTGCTTTCAGCCTTTGCATGGCTCTCATTTCTGGCTAATCAGTTCTAAGCTTATTTAATAAATTTACCAAAGATGATGTTTCAGAGTGTAGTTTTAATCTACTTACAATATAAAATCATATAGTTACATCAAAGTAATTTAAATCTGTTTTGGTAGCTTTACTTTTACCTGGAGGAATTCTGATTTGTGAGTATTTTGAAGTTTATATTTAACAGTTTAAACAAACTAACATGTGCATTCAGTTTTCTGTGTCAGAAAAAAAAATTTTTTTAAATTGTGATGTATCCTGAAATGATCTGTTCTTGACTTGTGAAAGGTGAATTTCAAGTATGAATGCATGGCAAACTTTAAAGTATTAGCATTCTGTATGTTGTCTAAGTAATGCAATTAGATTTCTATTAAGAATTTACATACTGAATTACTGAATATGCTTTTTCCTTATCACTTTTGTACTCTTTCTCCTCCTTTTTATGAGATGTCCATCCAAAGATTATGATTTTGATTACTAAGCTTCATTTGGTTTCAGAATAATTTTATTGTATGTGATTATTTTAGAAAAGACCTAGCAGGTAATTACCATTTCCCTTTTTCAAAGAGGCATATTGTAACGTATTTTAATTTATTGATAATTTACCACTGATCTTGATAGAGCCTAACTCTAAATAGTCGAGTCAGACTATAGTTTTGATGGAATTACAGGGATCTTTGGTCCATATGTGCGTCTGTCTTATAAAGCTTCTAAAAGTCATTCAGAGATAATCTATGTTTTCTACATAATCCCCAATGAGGGACAGAATATTTTTTTAATGATAAATTGTGAAAGTTTTAAAGGATCGTGAAAGTAAAATAATGTGGAGTTTTTTCTTTAAAGGGAAAGAGTAGTAACTTTATTAATACGTCTCTGTTGTGAGTTCCCAGGTTGCCTTTAAGATACTCTAACATTTTACACCTGCCTCCCCCACCGCAGACAGTTAATCTGTTCCGTGTCCGTTTTACTTGTCCTTTTTAGCACAATCAGAAATAGAATTTTTCTGTAAAAAAAAAACCCTGTTTTTTAACGTTAAAATAATTTTAGACTTAAAAGGCACAAAAATAGTATTCCCTTAATGTTTAACATTTTCCTAATTGTAGTGTATTTCTCAAGAGCAGAAATTATGACTGGCATAATACTTTATTTGAATCTGACCAGTTTTTCCACTAATGTCAATTTTAGGTCCAGGATCCAATCCAGTTGTGTTTAGTTATTTCTCCTTAGAGTTCCCTAATCTGTGACAATTCTTCAGTCCTTCCTTGTCTCTTATGACTGAATACTTCTGAAGAAGGAAGGAAACAAGGGAGGGAGGGAGGGGAAAATAATACAAATATGGGTATTAAAAATTCATAGAAAGCATTTTAAATTTCCATAGTAGACGGTGGTAATTAATGCTTTGAATATTGCCTGTACTCGCCCAGGCAGGAAACAGAACTATGTATAGAAGCACAAAAACTAAATTATGGAAATACTGGTGTTTGGCTGTTAGTATTTTTAAAGTAATTGAACTTCAGACCATGTAAAATATGGCATATTTTAAATTTACACTTAATTAAAAACAAACTGTAAGTAAATGTGTTTGGTGCAGTATGTTCCAAGTCATTAATTTACAGATTGTTTTGAGACTGTCTTATACTTGGAAACTTACTGAGACGCCCTCATAAAATTCCTACCCCAACTATCTGTTCAGTATGGTCCCCCCCAGCTGTATTTATGTTTCTATATAGTATAGACGTATTCTGTGTGTATATTGTGTGTGTATATTTACTTGTCAGCTCACAATAGAGTATTAGGTTATACTTTTGTGTTACAGATGATGTATAACAAAGAGCTAACAGGCAGTTTTGGCTATTACAGTCTGCTTTTGTCCTGATAATTATAAAAGAGGCAGTTGAAAATATAAATTTATACATCCTTGAGGACAAGATAAATTGTCTTTATCATTTTAAGACTAGATTGAATAGTAAATGAGACAGATCATTTGGCACATTCTCCTCTATCCGGGTTGGTTTGTCTTCTCTTTAGTGAGGTTACAGTTTCTGTAGCTCTTTAGAAATAGGCAGTTGGAGCAAAGACCTGACGAGTTAGGGCTCAGATCCAAATCTGTCACTAACTAGCTATTTATTTTGTGACTTTGAAGTCAAAACTTAAGCTCTCTGGCCCTCAGTGTCCACATCTGTAGTTGAGGAGATTCAGATATAATTGGCCACAAGGCAGATACTTCTTTAGTGTGTCAGCACATTGAGAAAATGTTTTCTTCTAAGTAAATTTAGATTTATTATTTTGACTTTTCTTTTAAATTTTAGTGGATTGTACGAACTTCCACTTGTGTTAAGAAGTAATACTGCGGTTTTGTATTTACAAGATATTGTACAGATTCTTAGGGGGAAGATACAGAATATGTTCAAGATGGGAAAGCTTCAGCTGTCGTAGACTGTTAAGGTAGTCTGGAAAGAAATTTGAAGCTGTTTAGTATAGACACTTTTAAAATTATTTCATAGATTTACCTTTTGTGTTTTTGTAATGTAGGCATCAGTAATCCCCCCGTTCCTTTTTTTAACCCCCGTCCTTCTGTCACAAGGGCTGCGCCCTTCTCTCTTGAGGTTAGGCTCTCTTGAAGTTGATCTAGGCTTGGTTCGTGGAATGTTCTGTCTTCTTAGAAACGCAGAGTTTGACCAGGCTGTAGCTGCTGTAGATACTCCTTAAGGTATAATAGTAGCAGAATCTGTTCCCTGATGACATTTCCTCATACCACGCACATTCGCTGTTTGTACTTTTGTTTGAAAAAATGCACTGTTAATCACAGTACTTCGCAGGGTCACTTCATGAATGTTTCTCTGTCACATGACTGCATATATCTGGTATTGATGCTGTTCATGCTTGTATTTTTCCATGACTGATCTAGGGGTCAGGCCCAGCCTCAGGAACAGTTTCATCACTGAATTCAATGAATGTGGATGCAGTTTGTGAGAAACTGAAACAAATAGAGGGGCTGGACCAGAGCATGCTGCCTCAGTACTGTGCGACCATCAAAAAGGTGACCAGCGTGTGTACGTGCTGACTCGAGGCAGGGCTAAGGGTGCAGGAGACGGGCCTGTGACGGTGCACGCTTTGCACCTAGCTTCTTGAAGATGAGTTCTCTGTTGAAATGGGAAGGCTCCAAACGGAAATAGGTTTCTTACCATTTGTACCCTACAATTGCCCTTTTACCCCTTAGTTTATAAATGGATAAAAGAAAATAAAATGATTGTATTACAATGTTACTTTCAAATGACCTCATATAAGTAAAACATGCTTTGATGAGGACTTCACATTTACATGAACAGTAGCTCATATTCCCAGTATGCAGCATAGAACATTTGAAGGCCATTTATTTTATGTTACATTTTCTTTAATTACAGGATTTGTGACTCAGTAGTTATCCAGGTAAACCACACTTGGCTTTATTTTCCTCAGATTCTCCCTTTCATGTCTTATAAGACTTCTGATCGTGTCCCCTCTGATGGTCCCTCCGAGTTTGGGTTTGCACGGCTAACACATCTGGGGAGTTTTATTTCTGCCTAGATCTGATTCTTGCAATTCCAGTAGCCACCACAAACCTGGGATTTCGAGGAAGCCTTTCCATGTACAGGGCTAACTGAGTCCCAGTTTTAATAGATAGAATTAAAATTTCCACTAAGTCAGTTACACTTTTCCTGTCAGAGATACAGTGAAATAGAACGTTAAGAACAAGCCCCCAGTGTGTACATACTTGAACGAATGGCATCTAAAAAGTTTTTGAAAGAATTATGAGCATATGTGCCATTTTACTAATCTTAACCTCTAGTCAGAAAGGTTAATGGCAGTTTTCTCTCAGACCTAGTTAGTCAGTCCCTGTTTGCAAAAGTTGTCAGGCTCCACCTTCCCAAGGCACACACCTAGCCTTCCCCTCCAGGCAGCCTGACTAGCGTCAGTTGGGAGTGAGGTCTGCCACGCGAATCCTCTGTGGGGACTTTGTCTCCGTCAGGCAGTGGTTTTCTCCCCACTGAGCTCTTCACTCCCAGGCCCCGGCTGTGTGAAGCCCAGTAGCAACTGGTCTCTCAGGTGCCGCGAACTTCCTGCCCTTCCACAGCAGGACCTCTGCCACTGACTTGCTCTGCACACTTTTTTCCTTCAGAAGTAACTTAAACCCAGGTATTCCGTAATTTTACCACAGTTCATAAGGTCAGGTTGTGTATTTTCTATAATAAGGAAGCTACCTGTCATTAATAAAGAAAATTGCATCATTTCTTACTTGGAAGAGACTAGAATTACAGAGGCCCCATAGTGATAAGATCATTTCTTGTGAGTTTAAGAGACCGGGAAATGTGTGGGTGGACATTCTTTATGCCTGAAGTTATCTAATGTGTCTGATCCACAAGTTGTTCAGCGCTTACTTCATTTAGAACTTCGTCAGAGACCGACACCCCGACAGACATCTCTGTCCCCTCCCAGCAGCTTGCCTTCATGTGTGCATTTTACAAGACTGGAGAAGAGCTAACGAGTTTGTTACTGCTCATGGCAGAGTAGGTAGTTTTGGAAATAGTTGGGAGCATTAACTCTTGGGCTGGTCCCTGAAGAATGATTTATTTTCCTCAAGGGCCCATGACACTTGGAGAAGTACAGAGTGGCTTCTGTTTTCAGATTCTGCTTGTTTATTCATTAGTACGTGGGGTGATAACCTTCTTTAGGTCAGTATTTTCTAGTCTCTAGTGACTTTCTTAATACTACATATAAATACACATTTTAACCACTAATAATTCAGAGTTTCTCACATTTTGTTTGTCTTTGTACCTGGATTTGTTTTTCTTCAGGCGAACATCAATGGCCGTGTGTTGGCTCAGTGTAACATTGATGAATTGAAGAAGGAAATGAATATGAATTTTGGAGACTGGCATCTTTTTAGAAGCACAGTAAGATATTTCATATTTGTAGAATTATTTACAACATGATATAAAACAAGTGCCAGTAAGTACTGGTCTAAACAGGTATTTTCCCATATTTAAAAAAAACTTACATTTTACATGTATGTGTACAACTCTCGTGTATTCTGTTACGCAGAATGAACACAGCAGTACTTATCAACATTTGCCTTTTGGGCATTTCACTTGGAAATTTGGGAACGAGGCCACCTGCCAGTCCTCTGTGCTGTCATTGACAAAGACTCTCCTCAACCTCACTCAGCCGGGCTCCTCTGAGCCCCTAGGCCTCGCACTTGGTGTCTGTCCTGGTGGGGCCTGTATTGCCCAGTTGTGGGAAGAATCCTGTTAAGTCAGTTTAGAAGGAACCTCACCCTCAATGTCTGATCAGACCCCTCGCTCCCCCTCCCCCAGCCCCCAGCGACGTCTTACCTCCTGGCCTGCCTCCAGCCAGAATCCCCCCAACCCCTGCTGTTTCCTCCTAGCAACTTCCCATCCCCTGACACCCGCCTTGGCTGTAAATGACCATGTGCTCGTGCTGCTTTTGGAATTGAGCCCAGTTCTGTCCTGAGGTCTGTTTTCCCCCGTTGCAACAGATCCAGATTAAAATCCACTTTTACTGCTTTAGCTACTGTCCAGCTCTGCTTTTCTTTGATACATTCCAGTTGCATTTTGTTTTGTTCTTAAGTTAAATTTTAGACTAAAGTAGTAATAACATAATAGTCAATTTAGCATATAATATATATATATGATGATTGTTCCAGTCATCCTTCAGGATCTGCAGGGGGTTCGTTCCAGGACCCCTGTGGGTACCAGAATCTTCAGATTCTCAAGTTCCTTACTTAAAATGGCATAGTATTTGTATGTAAGCTACACACATCCTCTCGTATAGGTTAAATCCTCTCTAGATTACTTATAATACTTAATACAGTGTAAGTGCTGTGTTAATAGTTGCCAGTGTGTGGCAAATTCAAGTGTTGCTTTTTGGAACGTTCTGGAATTCTTTTCCCAAAGATTTTCACTCTGTGATTGGTTGAATCTGCAGGTGCAGAACCACTGGGTACCGGGGGTCTGACTGTACTTAAGTACAGATGATCCTTGAACAGCTCAGAGCTCAGTCCGCTGATGACTTACCCCTCCGCAGCCGCGGTTCCTCCGCGTTTGCGGCTTCATGCAGCCCCAGACCGGGTAGTAAGTGCTGCGGTCTTTGCGAGAGAAGTACCTGCGCGTGGGTGCACCTGCACGGCCCAGACCTGCGCTGTTCAAGGGTCAGCTATGTTAATTCAGATAAAAGACAAGCAGACATAGTACAGGTTTATTCAGAACTCACAGGAAGCAAGCGTTCTCATTTCCATTATAATAATAACCTTATGTTTTATTTTAAAAATAACTTCTAAAGCTTCTAAAATGCGATTTGCTAGCATAGATATTTATGACTTGTGACTTTTTTTTTTTTTTTCTGTGAAGGTCCTGGAAATGAGAA